TTGATCCACTTCCCGGCTCAATGCCCTTTTGGCTAGGCTTCACAAAACACGCATCCCTTCCCGATGGCCTCTAGTGGTTGGCGATCTTACTTAACACCTCAAGGATTGGAAGGAAAGTAATCCTACATTTTAAAAAGACAAAGACCTGGGACAGAAAAGACTCCAATTCCAGTCTTTTCCTTAAACTCAGCTCCAGCTTTAAGGGCCTTCATCTGGGGCTGGAGAGGTGGGATTTTATTTTATTTTATTTATTATTATTTTTGGTTCTCTCTCTGCCTTCCTCAACCTCTTTGGTATGAACACTACAATCTGATCGCAAATGACGATTCCTAACCGCAGAGGATCATTATCTTCTTGCAGTTTTCTGCCCTTAACCCATAATATATAATATCCTGTCATCTTAGAACTGGAAAGGATCCTCGGGATCACGGAATCCAGCCTCCCTCGTGGAGATCCAGAGGAGGGGAATCAAACTCCCAACCTCTGGCTCCGCAGCCAGGGACCTCAACCTATGAGCTATCCAGCAGTTCATAATCTTCCTGTCCAAAACAAAGCTTATAAAACCCCTTTTAAATTTCGCATATGGTGCAGGAGGAGAGTTTTGTGGGAAACCGGGACTGCCAGAATGATAAACATGGGGGTCCGGAAGCAAATCAAACCTGAACTACCTCTGGAGGCTAAAATGTCAAAGCTGAGTCTGTCCTATTTTGGGCACATCACAAGAAGGCAAAGGATTCTGGGAAAAGTAGAAGGCAGCAGGGAAAGAGGAAGGCCAAATACAAGATGGACGTACTCAGTGAAGGAAACTCCTTGAGCTTGCAAGAGCTGAGCAGGGCTTTTCACAGGTCACTCGTTCCTGGGGTTGCCCTAAGTCAGAGGACTCCAATCTCCCTTCTTCTGGCTTTTCCAAAAGAGAACTGTCCTCAGCCAAACCGGCCACCCAAGCGCCCGGGCCTGTCCGTTCCCTCCTTGAATCCGCTCGATGCCCTTTCCCCCCATAATCGGGTGCCTTTTCCCTCCTGCTTCCTACGCTCTGGACACCCCAGCATTGTCTCCGCCGGGCCGGATAAAAAGAGGCAGAGAAAGGGAGGTCAAGAAGGGGTTGGCTCGGATGTTTGCATGAGAAGCCAGCAGCTGGGAAGGGTTTCTCAGAGGGAGGGAGTGGGTGGGCGAGGAAAAGGAGCAGGTGTGTGCCCCCTCCCTCCCTCCCCTTCCTCAGCAGAGGGGGGGCACGCGGCTCCACTCATTACCAAGGGGCAAAGGGGACCCGGGAAGGGCTTGCGTGGGGACGATATTGTGCGCCCTCCCTGGGATCGCCAACGTCTCTTCCCCCCCCCCTTTTAGCTCCGGTCCAAATGCAGATGTGGGCCTCGGGAGAGAGGGGGTTGTCAGGAGGGAGGGAGAGCATTTTGCTCCATTTAACTCGGCTGAAAAGAATGCAGAGTCAGGTCAGCGATCCGGCCACCCCTCTTTTTGTCTCTGGAGCAAAGCCGCCCGTACGTTCAGGAGCACCCCGAGCCAGCAGACAAAAAGAGGGGACCATGAACCCCTCCCTGCCCCATAGAAGTGGGAGAAACACTCTTGGGGAGGGGGGGAGGAAGCAGAAGGAATGTTTCGTTTTGAGCTCCATCACCACTTTCCCCGAGAGAAGGGAAGAATATTAGCCACAGGTGGAAGGCGACGGGAAAACGGATCCTATTTCGGATCGTTTGCCGTCTATTTCCTGGGGATCAGACGGACGGACAGGGAAATGCACTCCATCTTGATTCCTGCCTAAACTGGACCGTTATTTGGTCCAGCTGTAGGGCTATCACTTTTGAGGGACAGAGGGGAGCGATTCCCTGACAGACAGACAGGTCACTTCAAAAGAAATCGAACCCTTTTCCAATGTGATGACAGACACACTTTCCCACTGTTCGTTTCTCGACTTGACAAGAAAGGATATAAAAGCGCTGGGACAGAGCAAAGACAAGACGTCCCCAATATTGTAAATTTCTCTCATCAGTTTCACTTTGCAAAGAAGGAGGGAGGGCTGTCCCACTCTTTCTTTCTCTGCTGGCTGGTCAATTTCTATTGCCTTGTCAGACTAGCGCTATCCCACTTGGGAAAGAATCAAAACATCCATTTGAGAGAATGAGGCTCCTCACTTGACAGGTAAACAGCGGACACATCGCCTCTTGCGCCTGCCATGAAGTCTGGAGACCTCCGGCTTCTGCATGTGAGCGAGGCTGAGCTGAGTTCTTGAGACCAGGCGGCAGCCTGGAGGGGGAGGTGGAAGGAGGCCCTCCCTTGGATGAAACAGAGAATCGAGCCATGTGTGGCTGCGGGAGGTAGACAAATCCTCAAATGCAACAAATCTCAGCGGATCACAACACCGAAGCCACTGTCTGCAAACTCACCGGTTAAATGAAGTGATTTAAAATCTCACCTGTCGGTTCCGGGAGCAGTTTTTAAACCCCAACTTCACACCGGAGCAATCATTTTCAAAGTGAACTCACACAGCGATACAAAAAACACGTGATGGTAAATAGATTTCAATTATTTTGGAACTGATACGACGCAGCCGTGTTGACGGAGCCCTCTCTGGTTTCTAAAGAACAACTTCCCCCAATTCTACTGGATACTTTAATTGCATTTTCCACGCGTGGATGTATAACCGAATTAAGTATACATTCTAACTTAATAATGGGCAACTCTGTTCCTTTTTAAATTCATTATCTTTAACTGCCGAGCTGGAAGGGACCCTGTGGATCATTGTGTCCAGCCCCTGACAAGGAGGCCCAGCAGGGGAATCGAACTCCCAGCCTCTGCCTAAACCATAGAGCTATCAGCAGTTCTCACAGAATGACTGCAACTTTTTAGCTACAGTGGTGCCTTGCTTAACGAGCGCCCCGTTTAACGATGAATCCGCATAGCGATGGAGTATTTGCGATCGCAAAAGTGATCACATTGCGATGTTTTAAATGGGGGGAAATCGCTTTGCGATGATCGCAGGGAAGCGCTTCCCCACGATCATCCCAAAGGCCCCGCCAAAAGAGAGCCCCGAAGCACAGCTGATGGGCGGGGGGGTTTGCAAAGATCATGGGGAAGCCAGCTTCGCAAACCCCCCACCGACTTCGGCGCGCGCACTCTCTCTCTCTCCCCCCCCCTCGCAACTCCAGCCTGGGCAGGGAGACTGAGGCACCGCGCCGCCACCCTGGACGTGGCAGCGTGGTGCCCAGTCTCCCTACCCAGGCTGGACCTGCAAGGGGTGGAGATTGAGAGAGAGAGAGAGAGAGAGAGAGCGCCAAACAGCTGATCGGCAGTTCCAAAATGGCCGCCCACTGTGTTGCCTCACTTTAGGGGCACCGAAAATGGCAGCCAGATGGAGGATTTTCGCTTAAAGGTGAGTTTAAGCGTCCGCATAGCGACGAATCCGTATAGAGACAATTTTTTCGGAATGGATTATCATCGCTATGCGGGGCACCACTGTATTTTAATAGTTATGCCACTATTCATGAGGAATATCAAGGTCCCAGAGCTACTTCATGCTGCTAACTCTGTGGCCATCTCCAGGGCTGCGCTGACAAGAAGGGCCAACCTTACGCTTTTAACCACAAGGATCAGTGGCTTGTACCGTTCAGAAGTAACTAAAAAGTAATTCATTACTTTTGAGAAACAGGAAAGCAGAAGATTGGTAGACCTGCATACCTCTGCCGGAAAGGAAGGCGTTTCTGTAATTATATGCAATTATACCCTGCCAAAGGAAGCAGAGTGGAATTAAAACACTACCTTGCTTCCTTTTTTAAAGCACATTTGTTGAGTTCTGCATCGTCCTTTTCAAGACAGATAGGGCAGTCATGTACCTGGCTTAACCTTGCATGGAACTAGCAATCAGAAAAGCATTTTCCCCCATTTTCTGGAGCATCCAACGCATGCCGGGATGCATGGCTGGGTTGCGCAATCAAGCAAGCAAAGGACATACGGATTTAGGCATAAAATGCCAGGCCATTATAACAGGGAGAAACGGCAGCTTGGAGATGTGAATTACCTCTCTGGATGAGGTTGTACAGCTGAGAGAGGCACAAGGTCAAGGCAACTTGCTTTGGCAAAGAAGGTTGAAAGACTAAATTCTCTTCTAAGTCTATTCCCCCAGAGCAACGCTGTGGAATGTGGCCATTAAACCCGGCAAATTGTGGCTTGGGGGGGGGGGCGGAGGAAACGCTGGGTAGGGCTATTAGAGGAGAGGGGAGGAGTGATGTAAGATAGTTTTTAGATGGCAGAACACAGCCCATCTGTGTTCCATGCCCAACAACCAATGCCAGGTTTATAGGCAGGACCAGAGCTGGGCAGCATTCCCGGATCCCAACTTCTCCACAGGTGACCATGTTGGGCATCCCTTTACAGCAGGGACTGACATTCCTTTAACAGGACGGGCTCAGCTGAACCCATGACCGAGAATCAAACCAAAAATTTCTCAGCGCCATTCAATGCACTTTGCTGTTGTCCAGTTACCTTCAACGCACTTCTCATTCACCCAGCTTTGCAAGGGGCGAAAAAGAGAGCCGCCGCGCCAGCTGGAGGCTTCCGGGAAGGGCCATCCATACAAGAAACTTTTCCAAACGCTCTTCCTGTGGGATCTTATCCAACACTTGGCGAGAAGATAAGGAGAGCCGTCAAGATCCCTCAAAATCCCTGCGGCTTTCTGGCCTAGGGTTGGACTAGATGAACCCTGGGTGACCCTTCAAACTCAACCATTCTACGCTTCTACTTCTGCCCGAGGAATCTCCCCCTAGGCCACATGTGTGATCCTAAAGGTTCACAGCTCGTACTGTTCATTACAACAAGCTCGGCCCGAATGCTGGGGGCCAGTGCCGTGTCTTGTGGCAGGGAGTTCCATCGTCTGTGCCATGTGAAGAACGCCATGGCCTAACAAGGACCACTTCGTGGCCCTTGAAGCTCTGCTGTTCTCCCACCACCACCACTGTTCCCCCTGCCCCACAGACCCCAAGGTATCTTACCGTGAGGCTGAGTCCCTGGGCCTTCTTGGGCCTGAGGTTCGGGAGATGCCGACGGAGGTGCTGTGGAGGTCTGAGGCGGGAGATGGGGCTGAGCCACCCGTGAGTCTCCTGGGGGCTTCTCCACAGGACACGGGTCTTTCCTGGAATTCTCCACCACATTCAGCGACGGCTGTGGGTGGAGGAAGGAGGTCATTCACTATTGCCAATCCCAGGGAGTTTTCGTGGCCAAGCGGGGATTTGAACTCAAGTCCCGGACCGCCACTCTGCCCTCTACACCTCACTGGACCTCAACAACGTTGAGGAAGGAGCTTATATGCAAACATCAGGAATGGAAGCAGTACCCCCTGCCTAATTAAAAAAGTCCAGCCATCTCTGAGCTACGTTGTCACACTGCAACATGGGCTATATAGTCCACATGCTCCGCACGCAGCTCCTCTTACAGAAGCGTCCCTCCTTCACACGCATTCTGTTTCCACAAGACACAGGTCCAGCAGTTACGAGGGTATCCTCTTCCCCTCTTCTGTGGGGCACTACAGAGGGACCCCCATATCCACTTACCCATGGTCTGGAAATATTAAAAATTCTCAGAAATATATATTTCTAATGGTGAAGTTACCAGAAATGGCCACGAGAGGGAGCTAGAGACCATGCTGTGTATAACGTTCACTAAAGAAATGTATTTCCATGGTGTCGTTACCAGAACTGGCCACTAGAAGGAGCCGAAGACCATGCTATTCGTTGTTATAATGGTGTTTCCTGTAATCCACGTTTTCCACCATCCGCGGGGGGACTTAATCCAAGTCCCTGAGGATATCGGTGTCCTATTGTATTCTCTCACACACTTCTTGTGGCCTTGCAGTGGGCAGCCCCCCTCTCTGCAGGAGCATTCTAGAGGCGGACCACGTCAGTGGATATTTGGCAGTGGCTCCGTTCACATGGGACAGACAACCAAGGGGATGGTCCCAGAATCCCCCAGGAGTCGCAAGTGTTCATGGGATGGGTAGTCTCCATGCCTCTTTGGGTTCTACAGAGTGCGCCTCCCACAGAACTACACCTCTCGTGAAACCTGCGGGTCCCAGCTAGCACTGTGTCTCCCAGACGGTTCTGGGGATGTTCTCGGTCACTCAGAGCAGCTCAGGAGCGCACAGAGAGGATCAACCTGGGTGGTAGGGGAGCAGCTCTGAGCCCCTGAATTATGCCTGGGGGATTCTGGGATAATCCTGGGAGCGGGACGCCAAGTGTCTGAAGCGCCATCCCAAGACACAAAGGGCCTTGGGTCTTCGTCGCTCCTGGTCGGAGGCTTCCGCCCAGGTGTGGAAAGAATCTCTTCTTCAAGGCTTCGCCGAAGCTGACTCAGCGCAGTCTGAGCTGCAGCGCGTCTCGAATTCGAGTCTCTGCGCCAAAATTTAGAGGGTGGGAAATTTCCGTCCGGAAAGGTGTGAACCTGCCAGCCCTTCTTCCAGCTGTGGTGACCTGAGGCACCACAGTTGACGTCCACAGAGATTTCTTAACCCGAGACAGTTCCCTTTCAACAGTTACGCCTTCTGTGCTGTCATGCCACGGCATTTCAGCCACTGATTACAGTAGGAACCCCCATTTCTAAAGGATTTGTATCCACAGTTTTACTTACTGCGTATTTTAAAACAATATTTTAAAAAGACAAAACTAGAAAAAAAGGATTTTCACAACGTATTTATCAGAACAAGACACTAGAGGGAGTCAGAGACCATGCTATGCATTCTTGGTGTTGAAGAATACATTGCATGGTCTCTGGATCCCTCTAGTGGCTAGTTCTGATAATACACAGTAAAAAAAAACATTTTTCTGGATTTTTTTCTTTTATCATGCTATGTATAGTGTTCACTATTAGCATCTGTGACAGGCTTTTTAAACAATCCCTAGGGATATGGAGGTCCTATTGTATTTTAAATTTTAAAGTTATTTTTACAGTTCCCTAAGATCATTTGATAGTGGGAAGGATGTAAATATTCTGACAAACACATTAACGAGTCAGCTTCTCCTTCCTGCCCCCATATTATCAAGAAAAATCTGTGCACAAAAGACTTTTTCCGTTCTGTACTAATTTGCTTTTATCCTGGAGTGTTTAAAAAAAGAGAGAAAAAAAGTTTCAGGAGAAAACTAGACCACCCTCTGTTTCATCTTGGACCCTTGCTTTGAAAAAGGGGGTTGGACTTGATGGCCTTAGAAGGCCCCTTCCCACTCCATGATCCTAGGGTGGGCGAGCAACACGAGAGGACCATAAATGAAAGATGGGAATCACCATCCTTTAAGATGGTCTGAATAAGGCTGGGCTACCACATAATAAAACCACCATAGGGAAACCAAAGCAGAGGGGCGGGACGAGGATACTGGGGGGGGGGGGGCGGGCATGCATGCGTGCAAGCCATTCCGCCCAACTCACCATCCCCGTGGGAGGCTGCACCTGGAGGATGACCGCGGAAGCATGCTGGAACTTGCGCTGGGCCGCGTGATTCGGGCACCCGGTGGCCCGGCCAGGGGAGCCACTCTCCGGCCTCAGCGGCCCTTGGCTGGGCACTCCAGAAAGGTGTGCCATGTGCTGGGAGGGCGGGTGGGTGCCCGGCTTGTGCTGGTTCGAGGCCTGGCAGGAGGGAAGGTGGCCTGGCATGACCTGGCCGGCCAAGTGGCCTTGGGCTTGTGGGCCGGGGGGTGTGCTGAAGCTTGATGCCGCGCAGGAGTTGGCCTGGAGCTGCGACGGAGGCCGGGGTTGGATCTGCTGCTGCTGCTGCTGTTGGATGACAAACTGGTGTTGAACTGGTTTCGGCGGCGGCTGTGACCCCAGCTGATGGCTCTGCAGCTGAGAGTACGCTAGAGGGCAGAAAGAGAACCAAAAAAAGCACACGGATGGGCTGCGAGGGTCCTGAGTCATTCTGCAACTACTCTGCAACTTGGGGGAGATTGGCTGGAGTTTTTACAACCTCGCAGGCTGTCCGGAGAAGGTGTGGCTGGGGAGGACGTTTCCGAGCTGGGTTGACTTGTCAATCTATCCAGCACTAACCAATTATTCCCTCCTGCCTCTGATTTCAAAGAGAGCCCCGCCTCTCTGCTCGGTGTCTCTTTCCCTTTCTTCTGTCGGAAGCAGCAAGTCTGTTGCTAAAAGCAGCCGCGTTTCCTGTTCGATCAGTACTGTAAGTAATTAAACCTTTTATTCTTTCTCTTACTAATGTTGCCGAGTGAGTCGCCGAACTCTTAGATGCCAGTTAGTGAGGGGGGGAAAGGGGGTGGACTAATCTGGCGAACTTGAAGCTATTCTGCTTTGTAAATCCCTGCACTTCCGCTGCACAGCCAGAGGAATTCAACTGAAAATTCAAAACTCTGCAACAACGTTACAGGGCGGAACGGAACCCGCCTGCCCGCCAGGGGGAAGGAAGACGGCTTACAAAGGTCGGCAGGCACCCCCAAGATTGTTTTAGCACCAAGCAAGCCCCATCCATCTCTTCACCTCGAGGGAAAACAACAGTTTTTCTTTGCAAAAAAAAAAAAAAAGAGGCGACTTGCTATTTCCCCCACAAAAACAAAACAAAACCCTTTCTTGCTTATTTATTTTCTCTCACGAATCCCAGTGTTCCTCCTCAAGTCATAATTATGCATTAGAACGGGAGGTGGGCACGAATCGCCAGTTCGGCGGTTCGTGCTGGTTCGTTCATTGCCCGACAGGTGTTCAGGGCTTCCCAGGGCTTCTACGGCAGGCTTTAGGAACTGGATCTGGACTTCTTGCAATCTGTAGTTTGGATTTCCCTTCCCTCCCAACATTTCTCGGGCTGGCAGGGTACGCTGCGCACCCCGAGGCAGCCACCTAGCGGGCGGCAGCCCAAAAGGACCAAGGGAAGCCCACTTACCTGGGGCGATGAGCGGATGGGTCGTGACCGGCGTCATGGTCCGGTTGCCGGCACTTCCCCGGGGGTCCGAACTGCCAGCCGTCCCATTGGTAGCGGTGCCGCCGCCACCACCACCTTCTCCCTTTCTAAGCTGGTCTGGCAGGTGCTCCGCCAAGCCCGCCTTGGTGCCAGGCGTCGGCCCGGCACCCTTGCCCTGAGAAGGCGCCGAAGAGCAGGAGGACGAGGAATGATTGCCGATGTTTGGGGTTGGTTTCATGGCCAAGGTGGGGAGCTGCTGAGCTGCCGAGGACGCCAGGCCCTGGTTCACCGCCTGCTGGGTGCGGACGCTGGCGTTCTGGATCTGCAACGCAAGACGGAGGCAAGGAAGTCTTCACTGAAGCTGGACTCCACCCCACCTCCCTCCCGCCCCGCCCCCATACTCTGTGTGTCTTTCGAACCCAGACCACAAATACGACATGCAAGGGGATTTTACAGTAAGCTGTGAAACTGACCCCACTCAAGTTCTGTAAGTGCTCGAACACTGAAAGTGTATCTACACAACATGGTTGCTAGATACCACTTTAACTGTCATGGCTCCGTCCTGCAGAATCATGGGATTTGTTGCCTGATCAGGGACTTCTCTGAGAGAGAGAGAGAGAGAGCTCTCTTTAAGGACGGGCCATTCAGAATTTTTGCACCCCGACACCCAGAATTCTCCGCTCCGGGACTTCTACCAGGGAGACTCACCCTTAACAGAGCCTTACATTTCGCTCGCCTGGAGCAAGGCCTAGCTTGAAGGCCTCAGGCCTAGCGGTGGCCTAGCTTCCTGTTAAAAGGGGGAATCTGTTGAGTGGAACTCTCAGAATGGAGAATTCTGGGAGCTGGAGTCCAAAACGATCAAAATGGCATATTTGTAGTTCTTACACCTTCCCTTGAAGTAGAGCAGAGAATTCTAAGTACCTCACTCAAACTGCAAATCTCAGGGTGCCACAGGATGGAGCCATGACAGTTCCAGTGAGATGAAATTCCTATAACCTGGCGGTGCCGATTACCTGTTCCACTAAGGCAGGGGTGCTAGCCTCTCAAATTCCCCTTTTTGGCTCAGGGAGACTTGGGTTTAAGTCACGACTCAGCAATCAGGCTCATAAAGTCTGTGGGTCTAAGCCAATATTTTTTTCCAGTGTGGATCAGTTCAATTTTTTATTAGCATCGGAACTGAAAGGATCCAGGCGAACATAAATCAACCATTTAATTAATCCATAATAATATAACTACCGTGAAGTCAACTCTGACTTATGACAACCCTTTTTCAGGGGTTTTCCAGGTAGAAAAGATTCAGAGGTGTTTTACCCTTCCCTTCCTCTAGGGGCGCCCTGGGACCGTGCAGGTTGCCCAAAGCCACCCAGGCTGGCTCTTCTCTCAAGAGGCCCTGTGCGGGATTCAAACTCCCAACCTCTGGCTCAGAAGAGAGATTCCTAAACCACTAAGCTATCCAACCAGCCATGTAACTGATTAAAATTTGAATAAAATTACACATGTTTCTTAAAAGTTTTCAAAATAATAACAATTCTAAAGTGTGTGGGGGAGAGAGATTTTTAACAGCAAGTCTCCTTAAGAAGACTTTCTCCTTTTTTCAACACAATCTTATGCATAATTTCTAGTTTCCAAGGGGCTCACTCTGAGCAAGCCCGCGAGGCAGTCTAGCAAAGTAACTTTGGCAAACGCTGCAGGAATCCAAACTTCCCTTTCTAAACTTGTTTTATATTCACGATTTTAATATTTAATCCGTTTTAACTGCCCGCAGAAAAACGGGGATCTAAAATTGCCATGAACCAATGCTTCCCAACCTGGGGTCCCCAGATGTTCTTGGACTACAACTCCCAGAAGTCCTGGCCGGCTCAACTAGTGGTGAAGGCATCTGGGAGTTGTAGTCTAAGAGCATCTGGGGACCCCAGGCTGGGAACCCCTGTAAAATATGAACAAAGTCCACCCCGATTCGCCCTGGGGGAAAGAGTCTGGAAATCACCCCATTTCACAGACACCCCCCCAAGGTCCACCTCCCGGTCCTTACCTGAGCTGTAGTGGTGGACGGCTGGGTGGCGGTGGCCGTGGTGGTGATGCCTTCCGGCTGCACCGCGGTGACTGCGGCCGTGGGCGTGAAGATGAGCTGGGGGGACAAAGGAACAGCACGGCCTAGGCTTCGAGCTACCTGTACAAGGTTACTCTGCTGGGCCTGGAAATCACAGGAAACGGGGTGCCCTTATACATCACCCGTGGCCATCCCCGCAGAGACATCACGGCCAGGAAGGAACATTCAAGAGGAGGGGAAGGAAAACAAGGGTGGGCCTATAAAATCAATCTCTCTCTCTCTCTCTCTCTCACACACACACACACACACACACACAGAGAGAGAGAGAGAGAGAGAGAGAGAGAGAGAGAGAGAGAGAGAGAGAGAGAGAGAGAGAGAGAGAGAGAGAGAGAGAGAGAGAGAGAGAGAGAGAGAGAGAGAGAGAGAGAGAGAGAGAGAGAGGCTGGGTAGGTCGGGTAGCTAAAAAAAAAGACAAATTATATTGGGAGGGTTTTTTTTTAACAACCTCGCATGCTACCCGGAGAAGCTGCGGTTGGGAGGGACTTTTCTGGGCAGGGGTGGCTGTCAATCTATCCAGCCCTGACCAATCCTTCCTTCCCTGTCTGTACATTCAAAGAGAGCCCCGCCTCTCTGCTGAGAGCTGTTTCCCTCTCTTGAAGTCTTGTTTGCTGAAAGCAGTCGTCTTTGTCAGTTTGCTGTTTGATCTGTGCCATTGTGAGTAACAAAAGCTTTTATGATTTTTTTTCTCCTACTAGTGTCTCAGAGTGTGGCACTGAGACTAGAAGTGTGTTTGGGAATTAAAATTCACTTCCTCTGCTGATCTGTGCCGTCAAATCAGAACTAACTTATAGTGACTCTTAAGACGGCTTTCAAGGTCTTTAAGAAGTGGTTTTACCAGTTCCATACCCCCCCAATGAGTTTTCACGGCTGACAGGGAATTCGAACCCGGGCCTCCTGAGTCCTAGTCCATAATTCTGTCCACCCCACCACACTCTACCATTGCAGCATTTTCATACTGCTTTGTTATGACTGTATCCTACAGAATTGTGGGATTTTTAGTTTGACGAAGGACTAGAGAGATCTAGCGCCACACACCCCTTCTCTGGATGCTAGGCACCACCCTAAACTACAAGTGGAATCAAACTGGAATTAAAATGGAATTAAACTGCCCCCTTTTTTTATCTAAAAAGCACCGGGGGAACTTGTGGTTCAAGATAGTATGCTAGCGCTCTCTTGCAATATGAGGTCTACAGATTTGTGCCTTTATACTTCAACTCCCAGAATTCCTCAGGCTGATAGAATTCTGGGAGCTGTAGTCCAAATTCACAGATCTCTACACCTCTGGTTCAAAGTACAGTGGTGCCTCGCTTAACGAGTGCCCCGTTTAACGAAAAAATCGCATAGCGATGGCTTTGTTGCCATCGCTTTTGCGCTCGCACAACGATCTTGCCTATGGGGAAAAATCGCAAAGCGATTTTTCCCCATAGGCACCATTTTCCCCCAGCTGAGCAGCGGGGCTTCAAAGCTCCCGCCGCTCAGCTGGGGGAAAATGGTGCCTATGGGGAAAAATCGCAAAGCGATTTTTCCCCATAGGCACCATTTTCCCCCAGCTGAGCAGCGGGGCTTCAAAGCTCCCGCCGCTCAGCTGGGGGAAAATGGTGCCTATGGGGAAAAATCGCAAAGCGATTTTTCCCCATAGGCACCATTTTCCCCCAGCTGAGCAGCGGGGCTTCAAAGCTCCCGCCGCTCAGCTGGGGGAAAATGGTGCCTATGGGGAAAAATCGCAAAGCGATTTTTCCCCATAGGCACCATTTTCCCCCAGCTGAGCAGCGGGGCTTCAAAGCTCCCGCCGCTCAGCTGGGGGAAAATGGTGCCTATGGGGAAAAATCGCAAAGCGATTTTTCCCCATAGGCACCATTTTCCCCCAGCTGAGCAGCGGGGCTTCAAAGCTCCCGCCGCTCAGCTGGGGGAAAATGGTGCCTATGGGGAAAAATCGCAAAGCGATTTTTCCCCATAGGCACCATTTTCCCCCAGCTGAGCAGCGGGGCTTCAAAGCTCCCGCCGCTCAGCTGGGGGAAAATGGTGCCTATGGGGAAAAATCGCAAAGCGATTTTTCCCCATAGGCACCATTTTCCCCCAGCTGAGCAGCGGGGCTTCAAAGCTCCCGCCGCTCAGCTGGGGGAAAATGGTGCCTATGGGGAAAAATCGCAAAGCGATTTTTCCCCATAGGCACCATTTTCCCCCAGCTGAGCAGCGGGGCTTCAAAGCTCCCGCCGCTCAGCTGGGGGAAAATGGTGCCTATGGGGAAAAATCGCAAAGCGATTTTTCCCCATAGGCACCATTTTCCCCCAGCTGAGCAGCGGGGCTTCAAAGCTCCCGCCGCTCAGCTGGGGGAAAATGGTGCCTATGGGGAAAAATCGCAAAGCGATTTTTCCCCATAGGCAAGATCGTTGTGCGATCGCAAAAGGGATGGCAACAAAGCCATCGCTATGCGATTTTTTCGTTAAACGGGGCACTCGTTAAGCGAGGCACCACTGTACCTTGTTGAACTGCAAATGCCGGGATTCCATGGATGGAGAAACGACAACTGCAGCAATCTCAAACGGCTGTAAAAGTGCAGATGCACTCACAACCTATCCCCACCTATGTGGGGGATTGGTTCCAAACCTCTCGCGGATGCTGAAAACCGTAGATAATAGTGAAGGCTATACATTTAAAAAAATCCAGAAAAAGTATGTTCATCATGTATTACCAGAACTGGCCACTAGAGGGAGCCAGACACCAGATCCAGAGGCATTCTTCAACAAGAATACATAGTATGGTCTCTGGCATCCTCTAGTGGCCAATTCTGGTAAATACACCATGAAAATATGCATTTCTAGTTTTTTAAAATACTGTATTTAAAATATTTTCATATTGCAGGTAAGTGAAACTGTGGGTATTGATCCTGTGGATATGGGGGTTCCTATGTACACCTTTTCCTGGCTGACATTCCTCAAAATAGCAGGTATTTTGCACTGGGCGCACCCAACTTACCATCTGAGCACGGAGATACATCTGGGCCTGGCTGGCTGTCAGGGTGGGGTTGTTGGTGTTGCCCAGTAGCACAGCTTGCTGGGCGATGCCTGAGGCGGTGGCGGCGGCCGAGTTCACGCTCTGGGCCCGGTTGATGAGCTGAGCGGCCGCTGGCGAGGTGGCCAGGTTTATCTGCAGAAAGGGGAGAGAGATGCAGAAGTGGTGGATTGAGCCCAGATAACAGACCAGTCGCTCAGCATTTTGTTCAAGGGGTTTCTGGCATGTTCCTCTCACCAGTGGCAATTAAGGATTGGATGATGATGATGATGATGATGATGATGATGATGATGATGATGATGATGATGATGATGATGATGATGATGATGATTAAATTTATTGGACTAGAAATCCCACAATTCTCCATTCTGGGAGTTCCACCCAACAGGCAGAGGCTGCTTTCATGTGGCTCACCTGGGAGAAAAGGCCTGAACTAGGAAGCTTTCTGGATTAGCTGGGCCTAGTTCCACCTAGCTTCCTGTTTAGAAAGAAAACTCCCAGCTAGCACTGGGACAGGAACAGGAAGTTGGCGCTCGGCCTAACTCGGCCTTGAAGCTTTCCATTCTAGGCCTTTCTCCCAGGTGAGCCACAGCTTAGGCACCTGTAAGGTGTGTGTAAACCAGGCATAACTCCCAGAATGGGGGATTATGGGAAATGTACAAAAAAAAGTGATGACACTGCCAAATATAGACAACCCCACACTGTGAATCCTAAGCATCTACTGAAACTACAAATCCCAGCATTCTTTAGGATGGAGCTCAGATAGTTAAGGCTTTAACTGTGCAATGCAGATGCATTCATAAACTGTCTGTCCGTCCATTCCTCCATCAGTCCGGCTGTCCCCTCTTCCCAGACTTCCCCTCTGACCACCTGGTTTTTCCTCGGGTGCCCCACCCCATTCCAAAGAGCACCTCCCCTTTTCATTCTCTCAGCCAATCCCCACCCGCATGCAAATACACCCCCCCCGGCAATCATTCCATATATCGCTATCCTTCTATCCACACCTCTGGAACTCCTGGCCACATGAACTGACTATACAGGCCCAGTGGAGAAAAACAAGAGTCGTGGAAAACCTGCAGCCACCACAGGAGGCATTTCACCTGTTTCTAGGGACACCCCAAAGTCGCGCACATGGACCCCAGTTCAAAATGCCCTCCAAAGGTTGATTGAGTTCCATGTCAGCTTTCCTGAATTTTAGTTCATTTCCTCAGACACTGTTGGTGTTGTTAGGCACCATCAAGGCAGAACAAACATCCTCAGTAGGGTTTTCCAAGGTAACTGAGGTATTGAGGGGGTAGTTTTATCCGTTCTAGGACCCCACTGGGTTTCCATGGCAGAGCTAGGAATCGAACTCAGATCTCCTGAATCCTAGTTCATCTCTCTATCCACTACACCACACTACCACGGTTTATATGATCCCATCCTGAAAATTCCACATTAAAACCCCATCCGGAAAAATCCACCCTCATAACCCACAAAGCATTGTACCTTAAATGGTTGTGATGATTGTTTTAAAAGAGACATTCACAGGTAGCCCGCCTAACTGCCTCTTCCCATTATAACCGATTTAATTATATTTTTAACAATGGTCTGCATTTCAAGCAATTAATGGTATCGTAAGCCCTGGAAGGAAGGGCTAAATAACACTTGTTCTGGCCATTCCCCGGCCAAAGCAGGGGTCCCCAACCTTTTTCACCCCGGGGGCCGGCTGGGGAAGGAGGGACACCCCTTGTGCTCATGCGCATGCACGAATGAGCACACACACATGCGCATAAGTGACACAATGCTTGTGTGTGCATGTGCATGCACTTGTGCACATGCGCAAATGGCAGCGCGGCACTTACACAGGCACGTCGGAGCACACGTGCATGCATAAATCAGCTGTGCAGGGGTGAGTGTGTGCAGGGGAGCGGGGGTCTGTCTCTGCGGCCTGGTCCGGCTTAGGGCCACAGACCAGCACTGGGCCGTGGACCGAGGGTTGGAGACCTCTACCATAGTAAAAAAAAAAAGTACCATTTCCGAGTTGTGATACCATGAACCCCAATCCTAAAATCGGCCCCGCGACCACGTTGCAGAACACTGGGAGCCCCGAGGTCACTGTGTGGAGAGCCACTCTGGTCTTACCGTAGGCGTCTGCGGTGGCGTCTGGGGAGGCCCATTGGAGCTGGAGGAACCGCCCTGCCGATTGGCGGCCAGGCTTGCCTTCGAGAGAAAAAGAAAGGGAGGAAAAATTAAGGACCCCATCCCCTAAAACCTGTGGGTGAGAACAGCAACCACCAACTCCTCCAAAATGCTGTATTCCTTCCATCAATTTCTATTGCGTTTTCTCCCACATTACCACCCACCCAAATGGGACTCAAAGAAACTTAAATTAATATTAATTTTTTTAAAAAATCCACAAACAATCAACAGGACTGAATGGGTTACTCTTGATGTTTCTGTACCAGTGGTTAGATCCAAACGTAACTACGTTTTCACAACACTGTTGTACTATTTTCTCGGCCACAAAGCTGTGGAGGCTACAATTAGGTTGTCTTGGGAATAACAAGAGGTCTTAGTGCCTTTTCCTGAATTGATTAAGTCCAGTAGGATGCCTACATCCATGGGGGATTGGCTGCAAGCCCCCGTGGATGCTGAAAACAGCAGATAATAGTGAACACTATACATAGAATGATAAAAGAAAAAAATCCAGAAAAAAGTATTTTCACCATGTATTATCATCATTAGCCACTAGAGGGAGGTAGAGACCATATATGTATTATAGTCTTCAACAATAAGAATACATAGCACGGTCTCTGGCTCTCTCTAGTGGCCGGTTGTGGCAAATACACCATGAAAATACATATGTCTAGTTTTTTAAAAAAATATTTTTAACATTTTCAAACTGCAGATAACTGAAACTACAGATACCAACCCTGTGGTCCTACTGTAGTTCACCAAACTACAAATCCCAGAATCCTTAACAATGGAACCGCTACCATGAAACCAGCAGCAAAGCGCAGTTGCCTAGTTATTGTGGCAGTGAATGAAAATCTCATCAAAAACTCCCTGAAGAGCCGGACTCACACAAGTCAACAAGCCTAATCACATCAGGAGCCGACCCAACCGCCGGAATCCTGTTGCTGGTTTATGCCTGCATCAAGGAAGCTGCCTAAGCTGATAGACAGGGTGCTGGTTGCGTTCCTGGCTGTGCGCCTCCATCAGATGAGTGAACGCTGGCTCAATGTTACGCCAAAGAAGATACCGGATTCCTGCTTGCTGTGGCTTAGAAAAAGCCCAACCCTCTGTCTGTGGTGGTGGCCCCGACAGGTGGTGGCCCCTGCCAAAGTGAGCAAAGGGGGGGGTACTGCTGCCTCCACCCGTGTTTTGCAGCAGGATCGGCTCCGGTGTCTTGAACCAGGAGACCTCCTTTTCCATAAAGACCGGGGTGGTCTGGGCACCCATGAAGTTCTATTTTGCAACTCTTGTGACATAAAGGGTTCTGGGGCTGTGCTCCTCTGCGCATGCCCAGGAACACAACCTGCACTAAGCCAGCCACAGGATTCTGGGTCAACCTGTTGACAGGAATAGCCAAGCCACACAATTCTGCAGGATCTTCTCTGAGACACGAACCCCCTCTGGAGCCCAGTCCGCCCAACACGTTTCTCAGCCCCCCGTTCCACCCCTACGGAGACTTTACCTGTTGGACGGCGGCCAGGCTCTGGAGCTGGCTGTTGCCAAGGTGCTGTTGCTGGAGAGCAGCTGTCTGGAGCATGAGGTGCTGTTGCTGGGCGGCGTACATCTGCTGGAGGTACTGGGCGGCCGTGTTGGGCTGCCGGTGCAAGGCCTGCTGGATTACCTGCCGGGAGAAGGAGGAAGACAGGTCGTCGAGCCGGCAGGGCGGGAACCCCGTCCATCCCACGGACCAAATTCCATCACGGGGACCCTTGGGGAGAAATTCGCAGGGGATTGCACTGCAGGAGTGGAGGTAAGGGAAAAGGGGAAAAACGACAACTCCACTCTCTCTTACAGCGAGGAACGAAGCCTTCCTCAAAAGCTGGAGATGAGCCCACCGTGTGATGTGGCGGCGAAAAAGGCCAATGCGATTTTAAGCTGCATGAACGGAAGTCTAGTCTCCAAATCCCGCAAGGTGCTAATTCCCCACCCTCTATTCAGCACTGGTTAGGTCTCATCTTAAGTACTGCATCCAGGGCTGGACGCCACACTTCAAGAAGGATGCTAACAAATTGGAATAAGTTCGGAGAAGGGCAACCACGAGGATCAGGGGACGGGAAACCAAGCCCTAGGAGGAAAGATGGAAAGAACTAGGCATGTTTAGCCTTGAGGAAAGAAGGCTGAGGGGTGATAGGAGAGCACTTTTCAAAGTCTTGAAAGGCTGTCCTACAGAGGAGGGGCAGGATCTGTTCTCCATCATCCCAGAGTGCAGGACGCGCAACAATGGGTTCAAGTTAGAGGAAGCCAGATTTCGGTTGAATATCAGGAAAAACCTCCTAACTATTAGAGCAGTACGACAATGGAATCAGTGACCTCGGGAGTTGGTGAGGGCTCCCACACTGGAGGCATTAAAGCGAAATTTAGACAACCCTCGGTCAGTTCTGTCTCGATTTGTATTCCTGCCTTGAGCAGTGGGGGTTGGACCAGATGGCCTTGTAGGCCCCTTCCAACTTCACTTTTCTATGATTCTAAGTTACAGGAAGCCAGATTTTGGTTGAATATCAGGAAAAAACTTCCTAACTGTTAGAGCAGTACGACAAGGGAACCCTCAGCGAGAGATCGAGGGTGAGCACTCCAGGACTGGAGGCCTTCAAGAGAAAATTGGACCACCCTCTGTCCGATCTGCTTTGATTTGAGTTCCTGCCTTGAGCAGGGGGTTGGACTGGATGGCCTTATGGGGCCCCTTCCGACTCCATCATTCTGTGATTAAACTTTTAGAGCAGGGACAGGCCTGGACATATTCTGGGAAGCCACCAGATATCGGCGCCTTGGAGAAGGCGAGAAGGCCATCGAAAATTCAGATTTTTCACCTCGCACTCCTTGCCTTAAAAAGGCAATTGACCAGAAAATTCAAAACACAGGGTGGGAGTAGATGACCACCAGGTACCCTCTTAATCTGACGAATGTTATTCTTCAGATTGATAAAACCTGAAAAGTGAACCCGGAATCCTCGAGGGGCAGGACTCGAATTCCCCAGAGGGCTGGAAGCCCAGTCAAGCACCAAGGCAGACAGGTACCGAACCAGGTCCAGCTGTTTCTAAAAGAGGGGTTGAATCCTTCAAGCAGGCAAGAACTCCTGCATTCCACGTGGAAGGAGCATTTAATCCGCATGCAAAGGTGGCAGCCACATGGTGGGAGGAATTTTTTTGGGGGGGGAGAGAAGCAACCTTGAGCATCTGTTTGCTATCAAGACCGGGGGGGGCGGTGGTGGAGGGGCCCTTTCCAAATTTAAATTGGAGTAAATTCTTCACTCAAAAAAGCTTTCCACTAAGAAGGGTGAGCTTGAAGAGAAATCCACTTTCCGCACCTCTGCATGATGATTCTCCCCCCCTCCCCGCCACAGCTCATGTAAGTCCAGCAGAAGGATTCATCCAGAGACACTGCATACTGACTCCTCTGGGCTGGAAATGCCTTTACAGTGGTGCCTCACTAGACGATGATAATCCGTTCCACTGAAATCGCTGTTTAGCGAAATCATTGTCTAGTGAAAAGCATTTCCCCATTGGAATGCATTGAAATTTGTTTAATGCGTTCCAATGGGGAAGAATCATCGTTGTCTAGAGAAGATCGTCCATAGGAAAGCTGCTTTGTGAATCGCAGATCAGCTGTTTAAATAGCTGTCTTGCGAAGCTTAGATCCCGAAAACACCTGTTTGCAAGCGCGGAGGAAGCTGTCAAAATAGTTGTGTAGTGAAAATCAGTTTGCGAAGCAGGGACCAAACATTGTCCAGCGAAATTCCCTCATAGAAATCACTGTTTTGCGAATTGCTATAGTGATCGCAAAAAGTCAATGTCTAGCGAAAAAACTGTCATGCGGGGTAACTGTCTAGCGAGGCACCACTGTAGTTCATTATTTCCAGAGAGGGGGGAAGTTTGTTAAACACACAAAAACACTCTCTCTCCCCCTCCCCCCCCAAAATTGAACAGCCAATACTAACTTGCAGCCATACTGGTTGGGGTGTGTGTGAATGGGAGGTGTGGTCCAGAAAAGTAACATCCTGGCTGGGGATACTGGAAATAGTAGTCCAAAAGGGGGGCTTTGCCAAGCTGTGCTCCTGCCCAATTTAGATACAAGAGGGCCAGGGGGGGGCAGCAGCTGAGTAAGCACTTTCTCCCACTTTTTGGTTTCGGACTTCCTCGCCTACTGTAACTATGGGGCACCTGTTATTTCATTTATTTAAAATGTTTTCTCCTTAAGAAGGGCCCAAAGCAGATGATAACAATTAGAAGACAGTATTTTAAGTTAGCAACAATGAGTATACGATCCTAAAAGGATAAATGAAGATGACATTAAAATACCTAAGCGACATCAATTCACATTGAAAAGCACAAAGTACAAGGATCCATTTTTTAAAAAAAAAAATCCCATTTAGGCAACCACAGTCACAAAGGGAAAGCTTGCCTGAAGACAGAAAGGTCTTTGCTTGCAGAAGGAGAGCCAAGATGGGATCAGCCTCGCTTCCAGTGGCAGGGAGTTCCAAAGTCTGGGAGCAGCCACCGAGAAGGCTCTCTCATGTGTCCCCACCAAACACAGACAGTTGCTTGGAATATAAACGCACAGCTCCTTTTGACACATTCATTCAAACATACCCTTACTGAGACCAAGCAATGCTCAAAGAGAAACCTGAAATCTCCATGCGAACGGTAAGGTTCTAGTGGCCAGTTCCTGTAACGTCCTGTTCAGAGATCTGTATTTCTAGGATTTTTCTTCTAATATTTTTAATATTTTCAGACTGCAGATGAGTGGATCAGTGGATAATGATCCCGTGAATAAGGGGTGTTCTGCTGTACTTTGGAATGCCTTGTTCCATTGCAACATCAACAGACAAAACTGGATATAAGAACAAAGCCAACAGGTACCGTGTTTCCTCGAAAATAAGACAGGGTCTTCTATTAATATTTGCTACAAAAATGCATTAGGGCTTATTTTCAGGGGATTTTTTTTCATGTACAACCATCTACATTTGTTCAAATACAGTCATGTCATCTTCTTCTGGTTGCTGCACAAGGGCGGAGGCCGGGGTTTCACTGAACTGGGGCTTATTTTTGGGGTAGGGCGTATATATTGCGAACAACCTGAAAAATCATACTAGGGCTTATTTTCAGGTTAGGTCTTATTTTCGGGGGAACGGGGCAGTAAGAACCAAAGATGAAGAAGAGGAGGCCCTATTGAAGAGGAATCAGTTTTATTTTGCATCATTTTATAAATAGGTAACAACACAACGTCTAAACAAAACACAGCCCTTTTCTTGCTCCCTGCTAAACTCTTGCGGGTTTGTGGGCCGTCATTGTCCTGAATCTTTCAAAATGCCAATTGAACGTAACTTCAAGGGACTTTTTTTCCCTACTTTATAACAGCGGCAGAGCGAAACTCAGATCCAAGAGGGTACAAGGAAACGGCCCTGGGGGGCCCCCCAAGATTACTCCGTCGGAAGAGCGGGTGATGCCTGCTGTTGGACCACTAAAAATCAAATGGGTTGCAAGCTTTCGTGGAGTGAATTCCATTTCTTTGGGCTCAGCGCCACCCCAGGAGGTGAGAGAGAAAAGGGAGAAAAGAATAAAGGAGAGAGAGAGAGAGATTAAGAGAGCTTGTCTAAACATCCCCAGTTCCCCCCACCCACCCAAAATCAGGGAAAGGATGGGGAAAGGGTCATGCCAAAGGTTAACTGGCGTCAGCAAGGGTCTCCGAACTATGACCTTGCCAAGATGGCCATCCATCATTCTGGCCTGCTGGCCACATTCTCTCGTACCCCAGGGGTCTGTATTTCAAGCAACCCCACAACCCCTTCGTCTAGGAAAACAATCATACAGCTGGAACGATGGCTGAAAGAGGCGTTCGCAACCCCTGGCTTTTAAACTCGCCTCCCAGAGGCGCATCCATGCAGCCCATGCATGCAAAGCGGAAAGGTCCCCGTTTTATAGGGAGCTGGGATCAGGTCAGCTAATGAGCCCTCATCAGGGCTTTCAAAGTAGGTGAGATATTCAAGGAGGTGCTTTCCATACCAGTTCCACGCCCCCCAATGAACATCCAGGGCCGGAAGGGGATTCGAACACAGGCCTCGTCTAATGCTTGAGACAACCGGAGAGCGTCCGCGCACAGACTTCTGTGACTACAAATCTCAGTATTCCACTGGGTTACAGTGGCATGAAACAGTTCCCATGGATATATCGTTGCGTGGTGCTCCCGAAGACCGAGATGCAACCCAAAGGCCGGGAGTAAACACCCCCCCCCCGAAAAGCAGCCGAGGATTCTAGGGCGAAACACCCACCTTGCACTTCGTATCAGACAAAATCAAAGCAAAACAGACAAAAAGGTGGTAGCGCCTTAAAGACAGAACTGTTAGGTTTTGATGTGAGCTTTCGTGGACATGTCCACTTCATCAGACCTACATGTGTTTCATTGTGTCAGGGGGGCCCAGGATTCAAATCCTCCCACCTGAAACCGGAAGGGCCTTTACATCTGGGAACCACGCCCTCCCTCCAAATTTTAAATAGAAAGGAGGCAAGCCATTTGCCCCTCGCAGCTTCCCAGGGTAGCTCCCGGAAGCAGAGGTGGCTGTTGCGAACGAGAGAGAGAGAGAGAGAGAGAGAGAGAGAGAGAGTGTTTCCTCTTTCAAGTTTCTAAGGCAGCTATAAAAGAGGAGTTTGGGGTATTTATTTGGGGCACTGTAACAGGAGGTAAAAACAAAGAGAGTTATAAACAGAGAGAAGAGTTTACTGCTGAAAAAAGTATGGTCCACGGCCTGTGTGAGTCTGTGCCTTATCTCCTGTGCGCTTCTGGAACTCACAGAAAAAAAATCCTGCCTTAATAAATCCATTAAACTGAATCTAAAGTTTGCCTTTCCCTGCCTAGGGGTTCAGACCGAGTCCTGGAGAAATTACTTTTTTGGGGTCCCACTTTCCCCCACAGCCATGGCATGGCTGCTGTTCTCCAAAATTTTACGTGACTTCTCCAAATTCTGGTTGGGACCGCAGGTCCCAGAATCCACAGCCAAGGGTCTTTGGAGTGGCTGTGGATTTGTTGTTGTTTCTTCAATGTCTCGCGTTGGTTTTTCAAATCCTTTTAAAAATGTGCTTTTCGGGAGCATTTTTACCCATCCTGTGCCCCCCCCATGGCGTCGCTTTGGGGGAAGGGATGAGAAGCAAGAGAGAAACTCTTCCAGTAAATAAACAGGAATGTCTATTTTGGGTTTTTTTTAAAAAAAAATCGGGGTTTTCTTTTGGAAGACCTTAAAAGGCAATGCACAAAGGGGTACCTTCGCTTTCACGTCGTGGGCGGAAATGAGAAGCTTTCACCTTTCCTGTCTCAAACTTTCAAGTCTATTTGGGGAATGGATTCACACACACACCCCAAATTTAAACAGCCCAGAAGTTAGGGGAGAGGCAGCCTGGAACATCACAGAGCTACCACAACAGACCATGTCACCCCACTCCCAAAACCTCTACCAGTATTCCTAACCCCACTAAATCCAAGGAGTTTTGGGAAGAGATTGCCGCTTCTCAACCTCCCCCCCATAGCCCCTCCCCAGACTGTAACAGGCCGGGACATCCCCCCAAACCACCTCTCGCCAACACTGCTCTAGACGGAAGCAGGCAAGATGCAAGGATAATCCCCCAAGCCAAGGGGGGGGAGGAAGGTCCCAAGCCATGCCCACCCCCAAAGAGGGGGTGCATGAACCCCAAAGGATTTCCGTACCTGGGGGGGCAGTTTCGTGCACCCCCATCTTCCCCCATAGACTGCATTAACCAAAGGAGCGCCGAGATTCAAAAACTCCGTATACTTACGCTTCAGATGGAAACACAGGACGGATGGCCAGACCGTGGAGAGGAGGAGAATTGGAGGGAGGGACCCTCAAGACTGCAGGACAGGCGAGAGAAAACCCGTGGACAGCAATGGGGGTGGGTGGGATGAACAAGGTAGGAGGAAAATCAGGGGCTCAGTGCACCAAGGAGGGGGCTAACCCAGAGCACATGGCCTTCCAGGGGGTCCCGGAGACCCCCAAGTCGCCTGTTCCCGGGTTCGCCTTGTTTCTAGAGGCTACCCCTCTCTGCCTTCCCGAGGTTGGGTCTCCGGAGCCGGCAGGACAAAGGAGTGACCCTCCAGCCCTCTGTCTCCAACCCCCACGAGGGAGGGGGGCGGGGAGAAGAGGAGGAGGAGGGCCGGAGATAAAGTTCCCCACTCAGCATCCCTGCAGAGGAAGAGGAGGGAAAATTTAAAAAAACAACACCATCCATCGCCCCTCCCAGCTTCCAAAGTTCTACTCTCCAGGGAAAACCCTGAATCCGCCAGGGGGGTGCATTCAATCCCCACCCACCCCCCCAGGGCAATGGATGCTGTCCCCATTGTTTGGTTCATCTGGGCTAAAAACTGGGGGGGACCTCAGCAGGGGGGAGTGTGACTTTGCTTAAAGGGCAAGATGGTAGGATGATGGCAAAAAGGCCTCCCTTGGCATTAAAGGACAACGTATTGTGAAAGGACAGGGCCTCTGATCTAGGAATTCTGAGAGCGTGTTTGTTTGCTTTAGTTCACATTTCTTTTGCAAACAGAAACAATCAGGATAAAATTACTGGTTCTCTGTTTACGAAAGGCAGGGAAATGGCATTTTTTCAAGGCGACTCAACCCGGAGATAATGGCAAAGACACAAACCACACAGATTCGCCCACTATGCGCCGCACACAACAAATGGCATAGCACACACAAAGCATGGCCGTGAAGGGTGGATAGGCAGGCTCCGTGTTTGTTCAGCGAAGAGAGCGCTTAACAGACTTTAAGCCCATCAGATCTGGGTCGAAAGGAATGGCACGTTGGTGAATTCTGCCACACTTGCTACTCACAGGAACAGTCCTTATGGACACAAGGAAAACCCCAAATATATGCGCTGGCTTGTTGATCCAAATCAACAAAAACACTTCCAGCCTTTTTTTTTTCATTGCGACCAGCAGCGGGTCTTTTGCAGAGCTAATGGATCTGAATGGCCCATTCGGAACAAACCCCTCCGATAAATATATTTTCCCTCTTGCCACTGCGGTAGCTGAATTACTGCTGATAAAGTGCATTTCCCTTCCAGCTATGATGAAGATCATGGGTGAGCTCTGAAGGAGCGCTTTGCCACACAAGTCCCACCACGTTGCTGGTCCAAACCTGTGCCAGGGCTTCAGGCGTCCCTCGCCCAGTATTCTACGAGACTCTTCTTTTTTAGAATAATGTAGCCTCGGATAGCTCAGGGGTTAAGGTCTCTGGCTGCAGAGCCAAAGACTGCGAGTTCAAATCCCCACTGGGCCTCCTTGACAGGGGCTGGACTGGATGATCCCATGGGGTCCCTTTCAGCCCACCTTGGACCCCTGGCACATTTAACTCCCTGCTGATAGAGAAGAGAGCTATATTCAGAATGGAGAGGGGGGGGATCTGATTAAAATCAGAATTTTAAAACTGGGGATCTGGTTCATACACCAGAGTCTGTATGACACAACCACACTCTCTGGCTTGCTGCTTTTGTGTGGCAAGCGAGGTGGATATGTTCCTCACGTGTCACATGGAAGACCTTCGGATCATCAAGACAGAGCCCATTTTCCCAAGGTTTCCTACTGAAGACTGGAAAAGCCATCATCGTAAAACTGCTGTGTTTAGAATGGACCGTCAAGAATCATGTCGCGGAACCGCCCCAGCGGATGATGAAAATCAACAGCTGGTGCTCCCTGTTAAATGAGGCCTCTCCCCATTACTCTTGACTTACCTACCGTATCGCTTACTCCCTTTTTTTTTATTGCTTTAGGTTGCTGTTAAAAGAATAGCATAAACCTCCGGGCTCTAAGAATGGCTTCCAAAACACCTTAGCAACTTTTAAAACTAGCTAGAAAACATGGCACCTTCTACTGATTACGTGCTTTTGATCCCACACCTTCATTTTGAAATGGAACTTCGTGTCCCCTAGGACCAAGAACATTCCCAAGTTACTTCCAAGCTTCACGCATGAAAGGGGTGAATTTGGAAACACAGGCGCCTGTCCTAATCATCCCCCCAACAGCCCACAAACACAGCGCACACACCCCGAAAGGCCTCTAAAATATAGCAGTCTGATTTGCCCTGGAGACCCCTGACATGCAATTTTCAAAGAAATCTCTCCTCAATCCGGTGCCTGCCATTTCTCCTCCAATGCACACCGCCGTTTGGAAATGGTACATCAGGGACTCATTCAGAGACGCAACGAGGGGTGTCCTCGGGGGACCGGTCTGGCTGAAATGACACGCTTTTCTTCCATCGGGACCAAACTGGCTTCAAGATGCTTCACAGAAATCAGAGGTGCTGGCCTTTGTTTGCCTCGCCATACTTTTCGGAAAGCCGAGACGCTCAACGTTGGTTGAATATCCAAGAGCTGAGACACGGATGTATGGAAGTGAGAGCTGGACCATAAAGAAGGCTGGCCGCCGAAGAATGGATGCTTTTGAATTGTGGCGCTGGAGGAGACTCAAGAGTCTGCAAGGAGATCAAACCTATCCATTCTGAAGGAAATCAACCCCGTGTGCTCACTGGAAGGACAGATCCTGAAGCTGAGGCTCCAATCCTTTGGCCAACACATAAGAAGAGAAGACTCCCTGGAAAAGACCTTGATGTTGGGAAAGTGTGAAGGCAAGAGAAAAAGGGGACGACAGAGGATGAGATGGCTGGACAGTGTCATCGAGGCGGCCAACATGAATTTGGCCCAGCTCCGGGAGGCAGTGGAAGACAGGAGGGCCTGCCGTGCTCTGGTCCATGGGGTCACGAAGAGTCGGACATGACTTAATGACTAAACAACAACGAGAGACGCTGATGAACCTCCTTATGAGGGCCGGTTATTACATCATTCTACGATTAGGTCACTCAGTCAGCAGGGCAGACGGTAGGACTACCTGCCTCTCCGAATGAGTTCCCGATACCCCACGTTGTCTGCTTCCAAACAGAAGACTGACTAATACAGAACCACAGCAGAATGGACGCCTTTTGGGGCGAGCCATGCTTGCTCTTTTCGAAACACCTCATGGCCAGAGAGATGGGTAGAAACGGAGGCGTGACTTCAGAAACTCACTCTTCACCTCCCGCCCATCTTTGGTGAACTCGGATTTTGTTTTTGTTTTTTGGCACAGAATAATGGTTTCAGACTGCTGGCAGCCACACGCCAGGCCTAGAGACGCCCAGAAAAAGTCACCACTGGTTCACGGAGATGACATCCCACCCATCTTCTCCTCTCCTCAAGAGATCCCCATCTCGGAGAGAAAACTAACCAAGACGCCAGACAATTTCTGCAAAAAAAATATCTTTTGCACCGGACTCCTGTCTTGGAGCCAAACAAAGGTTTTCCTCTCCAACCCCCCCCCCTTTTTTTGTGTGAAGCTCGGCACGGCGGATGGCAAAGGCCCCGCAGATTGGTCGCAAAGACACAAAGAACTTATTCAATGCTCCTGGGTTTTCTGATTCGCGTGACAAAGGAAGACGCAATGCATTTTTCAGTAGCACACGTTCTGCAGAAATGCACAAAGCCCATGGGGGAGATTGCAAAACGGTTCTCCAGCCGCAGCTCTTCCCCCTCAAACAGCCTGCCCTCTCTCCTCAACGAGCAGCGCCCAGGACAGAACTTGACACGTGGTCCGGTTTCCCAAATCTAAACAACCCTGCGATGCAGGACGAGCGCCACTGCTCCCCGAGCGCCACTAGAGGGCGATGCGCCCCTTAAGATGCCAGAAAAGGGGCTTCCCCGGATTCTCAGCTGTTCAAACTAAAAGACCTCCATCTTCAGGAGACTCACCATCCCATAATGGTGCCTTAGCCTTGCTCTTTGGAAGAGGGCCATCCAGTGCTGTGGAGCCCCAGTTCATCCTTGCGAGCGATGGGACCAACGAAGGAAACTCAATAGGGTCGGACATACGTACAAATAGACATTTATTTTGGTGGATCGAAGAAAATCAGAAGCCACCGTGAGAAAATACGTATAGTTCCCAATGAAGTTCCGTGAAGGAGGCAGGACAACTTTAGTCACCCACATTGACGAATATATATTTTGGAAAAGGAGAAGATAAAACCGTTAAGAGCATTAGGATTTCTTCCCTGTGCTAGGAAACCAGAACATTTCGGCCATTAAACAGCACCTTGGTTAGGAAGCCTTTTGCTTCCACCCTGTCAAGATGGAAAAGTCTGAAATTCTCCCCACCATCCAAGAGGGACACAGGGAGCTTGTGAACCGAGCACCTTCCTTGCTAGAGCAAATGGGAACATCGACAACACACGCACCCCTGAGCGTGCCCGATTTTGCCCGATTTAATGAATGTTATACAGCGAACGACACAAAAGGAAAAGGCGATGCGGAAGGAGAAGGAAAGTCGGGTGCACATTTCTCATTTTGACGAGGCCCCTGAAATGAACTCACGCCGCAGGAGGACTTCTCGGTCCACTCACCTGGACAGTCTGTCGGTCGGGGATCCCACTGTACACGGAGATCTGGGGACCCGCTGGACGCCCGTTGTTGTTGCTGCTGCTGCTGCTGGCGGTGGCGCTGGTGGTGGTGGTGGTAGCCGTCGTGCTGGCCGTGCCAAGAGGAAGGAGAGCGGCTTGAAGCTGCTCGTTCTCCATGGCCGCCACCCGGCGCAGCCCAGAAGCCACGGGGGAAGGAGAGAGGCCAAGACAGCGGAGAGGATGATGAGCAGTCGGGGGGGGGGCTGTGAGAAGAAGCAGGAAAACGAGGGGTTAATCTTGGTACACCGGAGTCCATGATGGTGGGGAACTCCCTTGGTGGTCTTGGGGAGGGGGAGACTGTGGGAGATTCACAGGGAAAGGGGGGCCACGTATCGCTGGACTCCTGGTCAAGCCAGACTTAAGTCACAACAGCGACTCGACCCGGACGTGACTCGGTTTTTTTCCTCGGTGATTCGAACTCGGACCCACCTTTTCTGGGGGAGGGGAGAGAACCTTTTTTTAAAATTAAGGACTCGGACCCAAAGGCTCTGTACAGACGCAGAGATTTCTACAGCTCTAGCTTCGAGACTTTTAATCTATCGCCCTGAATCAGTTACGTTACAGCACGAATAAACAATTAAACATGTAATGGTATTAAAGCAATTTGTGAAAACCATTAAAACGCATTAAAATAC